GATTAGGTTTCCAACGCTCCAGGTATGCCAGTTTTTATTCCCCAGCCAACGGTCGGATACTTTTCTCACAGGCCTCGTATACTACTACTGAGAAATGTGAGTTCATTATAGACCCAATATAAGGTAAAATTGATTTTATTATAGGCACAAGATAAAATACAGTTGGGGTTGTTAGGTTCAACATAAGATATGTTTTAATTTGTTACAGACCCAACATAAGATAGAAACAAATATGAAGCCCAGTTTATCATTCAATTCACCACTTATCACTGTGTTATACCAGTTTCGTGGAATTAAACCCCAAACCAGTACCCGTGGACAAGTGCAAATCAAAATAACCAAACTAGGCTTCTTATAGTGATAGAAAGTATTTTATGTGTATGCTGTTGGGGAGTTGTACCACCCTCGTTTTGATAAGGTGCCTGAAGTTAGCTAGACAAAAAATTATGGGCACACAAATTATAGTATTTAGGAACTGAACCAACTTTAACAACAAGCAGTTTTTGGATGCAGGGGCTATGAAAGAGGCAAAAGCTTATTTTAGGGTACGTGCAGCCCCAGCAGAGCCTCCTTTCTTGCAGCCTTTGATGGTTCTTTAAGTTGTCCTTACTCACAACAATGATCCTACGAATTTTCTGTAGTGAGTAAAGATACACAAAATTGATGTAGATAAGCTTGAGTTTCTGTGACCCAACAACAATAATCTAGACAATGATTTTTTACATACATAACAAACAGAAAGTTGAGTTTGTTACAGATCCAAAGTAAGGTGAAGTCAGTTTCTTATAGAACTAAAGTAAAATAAATATGAGTTAGTTTTAATCCCATCATAAAATAAAGTTGAGTTTGTTACAGATCCAACATAAGATGAAATTAGTTTCTTATAGATTAAATGTAAGAAAAATTTGAATTAGTTTTATTCCCAACATAATATAAAGTTAAGTTTGTTACCCTGACTCGTCATGTTTCATTTAGTTTCAACCCAACATAATGTAAAGTTGAGTTTGTTACCCTGACTCGTCATGTTTCAGTTAGTTTCAACCCAACATAATGTAAAGTTGAGTTTGTTACCGTGACTCATCATATTTCAGTTAGTTTTAACCAAACATAATGTAAAGTTGAGTTTGTTACTCTGATTCATCATGCCAGACAATTGTGTCTACCTTGACAGTATTTTTCATTGTTCTAAAACCTAATTTAGATTTATTGTTCTCCTAAATGCTTTAGTTTTTACAGTTGTTGTTTATTGTTATTAAATGAATAATAAACTTTGTGATTTAAACATATGTTTAGGAACAGAAAAATCTCATTTTTGTTTTCTCTTTAGGATTAAGGACTTATGTAGTCAAGATTGAAAACAACCTGTATATTCTGAGTGTTCAAAGTAATGTTCCAGCTCCTTACTACAGTATTTTCTTCCAAGCAAAACTTGTGTATAAAGAAACAGGGTACGACTTTTGGTTCAACGGTGTAGCGTTGGTCAGTTGTTGATGTAAATAGATTCCAGTTTTGTAAAATAAAACCTTTTTACTTTTTCTTATTGTTAATAAATCATTTCACTTTCTTTTAATGTTAAAGAATGTAATATTTTTGTGCATTTGTAAAAGAGGAACACAAGTGCCTGATTGAGACAGCATTATTATATTAAAAATTTGTTTCATTAGAATTTGCATCTGTATTTTTCATGAAAACACTAATAGTAATATACATTTTTTGTGCTGTAAATCCTAAACATACAGTTATTTAATATTATTTTACTATTTTCTACAAGGGAATGAAACAATAGGACCCTGGGTTATGGTGAAAGCACTCCTACTTCTGAGTTCATACTTTTTTATATGGCTTGTTTTATTTAAAGTTGTCATCACTTACAATAATAGATACAGTGCTGATTTAAAGATTGAAATTTACAAAGTTACTGTATTCTAGTAGAATGTGTTACATCCTGACTGACCAAGATGTACTGTACAGAATGTTGTATACATGTATGTATTCAGATACAACATAATTGTGTTACATTCTGACTGACCAAGATGTACTGTACAGAATGTTGTATACATGTATGTATTCAGATACAACATAATTGTGTTAGATCCTGACTGACCAAGATGTACTGTACAGAATGTTGTATACATGTATGTATTCAGATACAACATAATTGTGTTAGATCCTGAC